TTTCCCCCCCCCCCCCCCCCCCCCCCTCTCTCTACCCTTCCCGGCGACAGCACCAGTGTTGCAAAAGCCCGGGTCTAAAACTAAAACTAAAGTAAACTGAAGCCTAAAGTAACCCTAAGCAGCAGTGTGTTACAACTCTATTCCTAGTTTTCGCATAGTTCCAAAGTGGGAGAGGGCTTCCCCCTCCCCCTGCTACCCTTTGCCCCCTCCCCCGCCACCCTTTTCCAGGAGTCCGTCCTGGATCTGCCTATGGATAATAGGCAATGAGATCATCCTTGAGAGGGATTGACAATGACCAATACGATGACAGCAGCTAGACAAGACGATTGAAAAAAACAAGCAGATAATATAAATAGCATAAATTAAAAAACACACGTAGATGCACGTGAACAGTACTCCACGTACCCCACTTACACTGAAAGTACACCACTTACATTTGTAACGGGTATCACAATAATCGCTAACGCCGGCTGACCACAGGCTGACCCCTCAACTGATGCAAAAATTGGTCAGTAATTGGAAAGTTGCCAGCTGCATAGCAGAAAAACAATGCCATTAATTGCAGTTGATTCAAAGTACCATATATTAAAAAACCACAAAAAAAATCACGCGGTAATTAAGCTGCAATTGATACTTTACAGTAACCTCGTAACTAGAAATGTCCACCGTAATCACGCAATGGCCATTTCTTACAGTAATCACGCAGCAATCGATGATTACAGTAATCATGTGGTACATACCGTAATCACGGAAAAGCGCCGCTTTCTTTTGAACCATTGTGATTACAAATTTCAAATAGACCATCGTTCTACAGATATTTGATGTTTATTCGAAACGCGGAGGGCGCAAAAGTCCAGTGTTTAAACCCAGCTTATAGAAAATTTTGTTGTGCTACAATTCTTAAGCTTATGCCAACTGTTACACTGTGCTAATAGAAAAACAGAAACGCAAACGGACTAGCCACCAGGCCATATAGCACTGGTCAAAATATTTGATTGTTTCGATTCCAAACTGGCACTAATATTTTTGCATGCAAAAGAGACCAAGATGCTTCCGTAAAAATTTCAGCCCTCCAGCTTCCTGGTTCCGGAGTTAGCCATTTTCCTGCCACAAATTTTCACAGGGCTGTACGTGACAACCACGCACGCCCGAGGGCTGAATTTGATAGATTCAGGCTGCAGACGAACTGGGAACATTCCCTGAAAGTTTCATCCTGAACAACTCTACTTTTAAGCTACCTCCGAGAGACAAGCCATGAAACAACAACCACACCAATGAGTGCCTAAAACCAACAAAATCCTACAGCACTACGTCTCGAATTGCGTTCAGAATCCTTCACATCCCAAATTAAAGCAAAAAGAGGGGCCAGGCGGGGATCAAGGGGATTTTGACATGTTCTCGATGAATAAAAAAGCTTTTAACACACTGAGTTTTCAATCATTCCGCCTGGTTTTCTTGCTGCCCCGTTTCATTGAAGCATCGCGCCTTGGTGTATTGTTCGGGCTTTCGTCGTGCAACACCTGCTGCACCGTACCACGACTCAGCGATGCCGGTGATGTGACCGAAGAATTCGAAAAAAGTCGTTCCGATTCACGCATACCTTTCCGTGCACCTTTTTTCTCCAGTTTCAGGCTATTCTTTGATGGTGGCGCAACCAGTGTTAAACGATCCCAACCTGAAGAAAGAAAACTTCCATGTTTTTTGGATTTCTAAACTAAAATTACGTAAATCGGCCGTTAATCGGCCTATTCAATCGTTTGAAGGGGAGACACTGCACATCGAATATGATAAAACGATCTGAGTTTAGAGGCGCCTTCGAAAACACATCGAAGAGGTTTTTTTGTTAGTAAATTGAATGGTTGCTACAGATTTTTATGCGTTTTGTGCTGTGTAACAGCAGTACAAAACGCATATTGTTACGGGTTTGTCTGTG